TGATTATGAGATTTGGCAAATGGATGTCAAGACCGCTTTCCTTAACGAGAAGTTGGCTGAGGATGTTTACATGGCTCAGCCAGAAGGGTTTGTGGATCCGAAGCATCCGAATAGAGTGTGTAAGCTTGAGAAGTCCATTTATGGACTAAAGCAAGCATCTCGCAGATGGAATCTTTGCTTCGATGAGAAAGTCAAAGAGTTTGGATTTGTACGAAGCGAAGATGAGTCGTGTGTATATGTCAAATCCAGTGGGAGTGTAGTAAGCTTTCTCGTTCTATATGTCGATGACATATTACTCATAGGAAACGACATCCCGATTCTGCAGGAAGTTAAGCCCTGGCTCGGGAAGTGCTTCACTATGAAGGACCTCAAGGATAGTAAGAGAAAGAAGTAAGAGACTAATAGGACTTAGTCAGAACACTTACTTAGACAAGGTACTAAAATGTTTTAGTATGCAAAACTCGAAGAAGGGAGAATTACCGATACAAAGCAATGCCAAGTTGAGTAAGACTCAAAGTCCGACTACCGAAGCCGAGATAGCTGAAATGAGCCGAGTAGCATACGCTTCCGTAGTTGGCTCAATCATGTACGCTATGACTTGTACTCGCCCTAATGTAGCCTTTGCTTTGACCATGGTTAGTAGATATCAAGGGAATCCTGGCGGAGCCCATTGGGTTGCGGTGAAGAATATACTTAAGTACCTTCGGAGGATGAAGGAATGGTTCTTAGTCCTTGGAGGGAGTGATGACTTGAAGGTGCGAGGGTATAGTGACGCCAGTTTTCAGACCAACAGGGACAACTACCGTTTGCAGTCGGGCTGGGTCTTTACCCTTAATGGAGGAGCAATAACTTGGAAGAGTTCCAACCAAGAAACCGTAGCTGAGTCAACGTGTGAATCAGAGTACATCGCAGTGAGCGAAGCGTCGAAGGAGGCAATATGGCTAAAGAACTTCATTGGTGATCTTGGAGTTGTACCTGCCATAAAGGAGCCCATAGAGATTTTCTGTGATAATGAGGGAGCGGCTGCCATGACCAAGGAACCGAGAGATCATGGTAGATCATGACATATCGACAAAAAATATCACTTCATTAGACATCGTGTAGAAGAAGGACAACTCGTAGTGAAGAGAATATCATCGGAAGATAACCCAGCAGATCCGCTTACGAAGGGACTTGGTGGTTGTCGAGGCCAACACAAATAATAACCCTAAATATTACACACTAAAATAGTGTATAGTGGTAAAGCGATCGAATCCACGAAGATTGGTTCAATTTATAACTCTATGAAAAATCTCTTTGTAAAAATACTTGTAAAATGACAATAAAAAATAAAATGGGGGGGGGGGGGGTTTGGTGTTTTGAAATACTTGAAACAAACTAGAGTTAACTATGATTTAAATAGACAAATGCAACAAAAATAAGAGTTTGATGTAAAATCAATAAGGGACAGATCGTTGACTTAAGGTTTCCTCACTTTGACTTTTGATGAACATATCATTAGAATCCAATGGTGCAATACTTTAATTTAAATCCTTAATTTGGCTATAGTAATCCAAGGAGCTTGAGATTACCTAGACTTTTCTTAATTGTTGAAATGGCTAGGGAAGCTCATTACAATTTCCTTAGTCAAAGTCACTAATTCCAAATAGCATGTAATTAGTGAAAGTCAACTAGCATTAAGAACCAAAAAAATCAGCAAATCCAAGAGGATTCAATTGCTTTCACCACCATCTTGGAGGAAATGTTTTTATGATTGTGTGAAGCAAAAACAACACAAAAATCACTTGTTGCTTGCTAATTTGAGGATCATTTACTTAATCAAGAAATTAGCCAACTAATCACCACAAACATATTTAAACTCATGAACAAAAACATACTAGTAGTGATAATATGATGAAACACAAAACATTTCCATAAAGATTCAAGAACAAGTTCATAGATTCTTCAAAATCCAACAAAAGTTCAAAGGATTCAACAAAAAGTCAACCAAGATTTGTTTAGCCAAGCATGGCTAAACTCAAATGAAAAAAGTTAGATAAAATTGTACCAAACATTTGACAAGATTCAAGAGGTGAAAATAAGATGTTATTCAAGTGTTCTTGGCCTCCAAAAGTGCACCAAACTCCAGAGAGAAAAGCTCAAAATCATACCTCCAAGATAATTCTAAAGAGGCACACCAACCTTCCCAATATAGAGCTCTAAGCAAAATCCTGAAATTACACTTGTCAGGAATCCACGTGGGCCGCGGGGAATCTTACACGGGCTGCGGGTACTGACGGGAATCTGTGGGCTTCCTCAAGTCTTGGGCCCCCACAACTAATCCATTGGCCCAGTTCGAGTCCAATCAGCTTCTAGCCCATTTTTCTTCAATGTTTCTTCAATTTGAGCCCAATTTGTCTTTCCACATCACTCAAAACTTCCGCAAACTCCCAAATATTGATCTTGCATACTCAAGAATTCTCCCGCATCTTTCAAATTTAAAGCTCAATTCTTCCAATCCTTCAAGCAATTGACAAGTCCACCCCATGAATCACCTTCATAGCTACCAAGCACGAAATCTCCAATTCCCTTCGAGCCCAATCGCCTCCCAAGAGTGCCGTCCCGCTAGTTTCCAAGAAAATCTGCAATAATGCTCCAGAAACTAGAAAGTACCCCGAAATGGTCATAAAAATAACAAAAGGGAAAATATGCATGGAAGTTAACTAAAATGCGAATGAAATGTACTAAAATAAACTATAAAAAGAAGTAAATAAAATGAAGCTATCAAATCACCCCAAGCTTAAACGTTACTTGTCCTCAAGTAAGACAAGACTAAATGAACTTGGGATGAACTACCCTAGAAATAAAAAGAATGGATAGAACCATGGAACCTGTTCGATGTTAGTCAACATGGTCAGAATTGATGTCGCTGCTATCTCACAACTTTTTCATCCGATGACAATGGAACCATAAACCACAGCCAGGACAACTCCTTTAGGTGAGTAAGGAGGGATGAACAGTCACAGCCTCAATGGAACATGTATAAAATGAAGAACATCTATAGTAGGGAGAAAGCAACTGGATGGGCTCGGGTGGAGCTCTTCTTTAAGTGCACACTCTGATCTCACATCTGCCGGTTTCTCTCATGTGTAACTAGGTTTAATCGCTCAGGCACCGTTGTAGGAATCAGTTCACTTAGTGTTGGCCCAAACCTCCTGTAGTATCCGACTCGACAGTCTATCTAACATCACCAATTTGTGAGAAATAAAAAAATAACAACTCGATCTATATACAATAAAACAGACCTATACAAATGAATATCAAACGCCGGGTGACCAAGATGTTGGGAAATTTGTTCAATAATTGAACCGGCCACCTATCTAAGATAGTTAAAACTGAAAATTTGCGTGCTTCATTTTGTTTTTGTTTTTTTTGTTTTTTTATTCGTTTTTTTTGTTCAAGTAAGAAAACCCTTTGACTCAAAATTTGGTCCCCAAAGGTGTGTAGGTGGAACCGAAAGGGTAATGATATAATCCGAATGGCCTAAGTGTGAAAATGACCGTGTGTGGAGCATAAAGATGTAATGTAAGCTCCTTTTCAAACTTGTGGTTTTTCAAAGATAATGAAAATGTCCAAATGTGGACTAAAAGAATCTCTAAGATTCTAAGAATATCGCAAAAAGATATGGTGATGTAAAGAGACCGGATATGGATTCTACTCGGGGACAAGCACCAATGCTTCATCCTAACAGTTCAAACATGATCAAGTGTGATCCTATCTGCGGTAGTGACCGCAAGGCTAAGAACACCCATTGCTATAGTATATCCTACAGTTGTTAGTATTGTATGCATAATTCTTCATGAAACTACCTGGCCATGATCACTGACCCCTTTAAGCTACCGGCATCTGATCCCAAGTATGAAATCCCAAACTGCAGCTAGTGGTCCCGATTCGATGGGTGAGATAGCAACAAGATCCTGGACCAATAATGATACAATAACTGTGAACCTGTTCCATGGCATCCAAGAGAGGTGAGAATAAACAGACAACAAAAATGCATGAATGCTAATGCCTTAAGCTAAATGTTATGCCAAAATAAAAAGTGGAAAAGAAGAAAATAAAATCTTTTTGAAATTTTATAAAAAAAAATGAATGCAAATTAACTTAAACTAATATGTTATGCAACCTAACTAAAAATGCATGAAAAAGTAAAAAAATAAGGGAAATGCCCCACCCCAAGCTTAAGAACAAGCATTGTCCGCAATGCTTAAGGAAAGGGCGGAAAGGACCTAAATCGGAGGGTCGGGCGGCGGGAAATGCCCGTGACGATAATGGTAGTCCCACATATCTTGGACCTAGCGCGAAGTGGGAGGGAAGGACTGCTCCAATCGATCAACGCAACTCACCACATCTTGGATGGCTCTCGTATTCTCTTGCGTTTGGGCGTCGATACGCTGCACCGTGGAGAACATTGTGGCAAATTTGTCAAAGAACGTAAGGGAGAAATATGGTGGAACTTCGTATCCCCCCTGCTGCTGCGGCTGAAACTGATGCTCGATGAATTGCTGTGCAGGCTGAAACTGGGGCTCGGTGAATTGCTGTGTAGGCTGAAACTGGTCATCCTCATCATCTACAGGTGGAGGGTAGTCTGATGGAATGATCCATTGATCGGGATCGGTCGGCTCAAAACTCCCTATATACTCATGGGGGAGAATGAGGTATTGTTGGTTGTCAAGGATCCACATGGACCCGACAATCGAATCCCGGATGAGTTGCATTCGGCGAAGTGCGTTGCCGTCAAGACTAGAGGGGCCGGAAGCCTTCTCAAATGGAAGAGTAGAGAGATGAAGTTGAAGCGGTGGCCGAGATGCGATGAGGGTGATTAATCCCCCAATGAAAATGTCTCCTTTGTCCATAGTTGTCAGGTTGTAACACTTTGTGAAGAAAAAGGAGGCAAAATCTGGCCGCGGACCGTTCTCACGAGTCATGCACCACAGAAACAATAATTCCACCTTTGAAATCTATCCCACTTCGGAGCGGGCGAAAATGGTGCATGTGAGAACTCTATGCGCTAGGCGCAAACATGGGTGAATTATGGAGGAGGCCTTTGAAGAAGACGATGAATATTGTGGCTCATTGGTAATTTGTTGCCAAAAGTAATGTTCATTGAAGTTTCCGGGCCATGGGTCTTGTTGGTAATATAGGTTGTCCACTGGAGCACCCATCAAAGCATTCACGACCCGATGTGGTAGAGATCGTTTCTCGCCGAGCATTTGAAAGGTGACGGTTTGGGCTTCCTCCTCGGGATTGAATGTGGTAAGAAATTCCAAGGTGGGTTCAACATAGGTGGCGGCGCGGTTATGGAGGAATTGACCCCACCCGATGTTGTTAAATAACGCTTGGACTCCATCGAGCACCCCAAGACTAGCAAAAGATTCCCTATGGAGGAATTTTTTTGACTTGAGTTGACGCTTATTTGAAACGAGAAAATCATAAGTTTTATGATCCTCACGATTCAACAAACGAAACGGGGGATCCTTGGATTTTCCCTTCCACCCTCCTTTAGAGGAAGTTGCTCCCGTCCCCGTTTTTGTGCGCTTGAACATTTATTCGGGACAAAATTTTACCAATAATAACTTTCAGCCACAACAAAGGCACACAATACCAACAACAAATGGGAAATTGGGGTATGAACAATCAAGTTAAAGGAATGAGATTACCCAATTTCTTAGACCCGGGATGAACTGGTGCCACCAAAAAGATGTCGTCAAGACACACCCCAAGCTTGCAATTTTGCTCCGTATTTGATGCTTTAATCGCTAAAACAACTCCACAAACTAGCTTCAAGATGACTTTCCGGCGAATGGAGTAGCGGCACCCGGAATTTGACGGAAATTTTTCGTGAGTTTTTGCGGAAAGATTTGTATGACTAGAAAGCTCTTGATGAGAGAAACAAAACCGCGTGCTCGAATTCTCTAATGGTGGCCGGAGTTGGTCGGAAAACGCGAAAGTAAGTGGTGGTGGGTGGTGGTGGCGCCCGGCAACGGCGCCAAAAATTTGGTGGTTGTCGAGGCCAACACAAATAATAGCCCTACATATTACACACTAAAATAGTTTATAGTTGTAAAGGGATCGAATCCACGGAGATCGGTTCAATTTATAACTCTATGAAAAATTTCTTTGTAAAAATACTTGTAAAATGACAATAAAAAATAAAATGAGGGGTTTTGGTGTTTTGAAATACTTGAAACAAACTAGAGTTAACTATGATTTAAATAGACAAATGCAACAAAAATAAGAGTTTGATGTAAAATCAATAAGGGAGAGGTGGTTGACTTAAAGTTTTCTCACTTTGACTTTTGATGAACATATCATTAGAATCCAATGGTGCAATACTTTGATTTAAATCCTTAATTTGGCTATAGTAATCCAAGGAGCTTGAGATTACCTAGACTTTTCTTAATTGTTGAAATGGCTAGGGAAGCTCATTACAATTTCGTTAGTCAAAGTCACTAATTCCAAATAGCATGTAATGAGTGAAAGTCAACTAGCATTAGAACCAAAAAAAAATCACCAAATCCAAGAGGAGTCAATTGCTTTCACCACCATGTTGGAGGAAATGTTTTTATGATTGTGTGAAGCAAAAACAACACAAAAATCACTTGTTGCTTGCTAATTTGAGGATCATTTACTAAATCAAGAAATTAGCCAACTAATCACCACAAACATATTTAAACTCATGAACAAAAACATACTAGTAGTGATAATATGATGAAACACAAAACATTTCCATAAAGATTCAAGAACAAGTTCATAGATTCTTCAACATCCAACAAAAGTTCAAAGGATTCAACAAAAAGTCAACCAAGATTTGTTTAGCCAAGCATGGCTAAACTCAAATGAACAAAGTTAGATAAGATTGTACCAAACATTTGACAAGATTCAAGAGGTGAAAAGAAGATGTTCTTCAAGTGTTCTTGGCCTCCAAAAGTGCTCCAAACTCCAGAGAGAAAAGCTCAAAATCGGACCTCCCAGATAATGCTAAAGAGGCACACCGACCTTCCCAATATAGAGCTCTAAGCAAAATCCTGAAATTACACTTTTCAGGAATCCACGCGGGCCGCGGGGAATCTTACGCGGGCTGCGGGTACTGACGGGAATTTGTGGGCTTCTTCAAGTCTTGGGCCCCCACAGCTAATCCATTGGCCTAGTTTGAGTCCAATCAGCTTCTAGCCCAATTTTCTTCAATGTTTCTTCAATTTAAGCCCAATTTGTCTTTCCACATCACTCAAAACTTCCGCAAACTCCCAAATATTGATCTTGCATACTCAAGAATTCTCCCGCATCTTTCAAATTTAAAGCTCAATTCTTCCAAGCCTTCAAGCAATTGACAAGTCCACTCCGTGAATCACCTTCATAGCCATCAAGCACGAAATCTCTAATTCCCTTTGAGCCCAATCGCCTCCCAAGAGTGCCGCCCCGTTAGTTTCCAAGAAAATCTGCAATAATGCTCAAGAAACTAGAAAGTACCCCGAAATGGTCATAAAAATAACAAAAGGGAAAATATGCATGGAAGTTAACTAAAATGCGAATGAAATGTACTAAAATAAACTATAAAAAGAAGTAAATAAAATGAAGCTATCAAATCACCCCAAGCTTAAACCTTACTTGTCCTCAAGTAAGACAAGACTAAATGAACATGGGGTGAACTACCCTAGAAATAAAAAGAATGGATAGAATCATGGAACCTGTTCGACGTTAGTCAACATGGTCAGAATTGATTTCGCTGCTATCTCACAACTTTTTTCATCCGATGACAATGGAACCATAAACCACAGCCAAGACAACTCCTTTAGGTGAGTAAGGAGGGATGAGCAGTCGCAGCCTCAATGGAACATGCATACAATGAAGAACATCTGTAGTAGGGAGAAAGCAACTGGATGGGCTCGGGTGGAGCTCTTCTTTAAGTGCACACTCTGATCTCACATCTGCCGGTTTCTCTCATGTGTAACTAGGTTTAATCGCTCGGGCACCATTGTAGGAATCAGTTCACTTAGTGTTGGCACAAACCTCCCGTAGTATCTGACTCGACAGTCTCTCTAACATCACCAATTTGTGAGAAAGAAAAACAATAACAACTCGATCTATATACAATAAAACATACCTATACAAATGAATATCAAACGCGGGGTGACCAAGATGTTGGGAAATTTGTTCAATAATTGAACCGGCCACCTATCTAAGATAGTTGCAACTGAAAATTTGCGTGCTTCATTTTGTTTTTGTTTTTGTTTTTGTTTTTTTTTTTTGTTTTTTTTTATTCAAGTAAGAAAACCGTTTGACTCAAAATTTGGTTCCCAAAGGTGTGTAGGTGGAACCGAAAGGTTAATGATATAATCCGAATGGCCTAAGTGTGAAAATGACCATGTGTGGAGCATAAAGATGTAATGTAAGCTCTTTTTCAAACTTGTGGTTTTTCAAAGATAATGAAAATGTCCAAATGTGGACTAAAAGAATCTCTGAAATTCTAAGAATATCACAAAAAGATATGGTGATGTAAAGAGACCGGATATGGATTCTACTCGGGGACAAGCACCAATGCTTCATCCTAACAGTTCAAACATGATCAAGTGTGATCCTATCTGCGGTAGTGACCGCAAGGCTAAGAACACCCATTGCTATAGTATATCCTACAATTGTTAGTATTGTATGCATAATTCTTCATGAAACTACCTGGCCATGATCACTGACCCCTTTAAGCTACCGGCATCTGATCCCAAGTATGAAATCCCAAACTGCAGCTAGTGGTCCCGATTCGATGGGTGAGATAGCAACAAGATCCTGGACCAATAATGATACAATAACTGTGAACCTGTTCCATGGCATCCAAGAGAGGTGAGAATAAACAGACAACAAAAATGCATGAATGCTAATGCCTTAAGCTAAATGTTATGCCAAAATAAAAAGTGGAAAAGAAGAAACTAAAATCTTTTTGAAATTTTATAAAAAAAAATGAATGCAAATTAACTTAAACTAATATGTTATGCAACCTAACTAAAAATGCATGAAAAAGTAAAAAAATAAGGGAAATGCCCCACCCCAAGCTTAAGAACAAGCATTGTCCTCAATGCTTAAGGAAAGGGCGGAAAGGACCTAAATCGGAGGGTCGGGCGGCAGGAAATGCCCGTGACGATAATGGTAGTCCCACATATCTTGGACCTGGCGGGAAGTGGGAGGGAAGGACTGCTCCAATCTATCAACGCGACTCGCCACATCTTGGATGGCTGTCGTATTCTCTTGCGTTTAGGTGTCGATACGCTGCACTATGGAGAACATTGTGACAAATTGGTCAAAGAACGTAGGGGGGAAATATGGTGGAACTTCGTATCCCCCCTGCTGCTGCGGCTGAAACTGATGCTCGACGAATTGTTGTGCAGGCTGAAACTGGGGCTCGGCAAATTGCTGTGCAGGCTGAAACTGGTCATCCTCATCATCTACAGGTGGAGGGTAGTCTGATGGAATGATCCATTGATCGGGATCGGTCGGCTCAAAACTCCCTATATACTCATGGGGGAGAATGAGGTATTGTTGGTTGTCAAGGATCCACATGGGCCCGACAATCGAATCCCGGATGAGTTGCATTCGGCGAAGTGCGTTGCCGTTAAGACTAGAGGTGCCGGAAGCCTTCTCGAATGGAAGAGTAGAGAGATGAAGTTGAAGCGCTGGCCGAGATGCGATGAGGGTGATTAATCCGCCAATGAAAATGTCTCCTCTGTCAATAGTTGTGAGGTTGTAACACTTGGTGAAGAAAAAGGAGGCAAAATCCGGCCGCGGACCGTTCTCACGAGTCATGCACTAAAGAAAAAATAATTCCGCCTTTGAAATTTGTCCCACTTCAGAGCGGGCGAAAATGGTGCATGTGAGAACTCTATGCGCTAGGCGCAAACATGGGAGAATTATGGAGGAGGCCTTTGACGAAGACGATGAATATTGTGGCTCATTGGTAATTTGTTGCCAAAAGTAATGTTCATTGAAGTTTCCGGGCTATGGGTCTTGTTGGTAATATGGGTTGTCCACCTGAGCACCCATCAAAGCATTCATGACCCGTTGTGGTAGAGATCGTTTCAAAGCATGTTTGATTAGAAAGCCTAGATCCAAGCATTAGGGTTTTGCATGCGCACATAGGAAAGTTCTTATGGATAAAACCCATCAAAAAATCACATCAATAAAGATAATGAAATAATAAAACGAGAATATGAGAATATGAAAGATATGGATTGAAAAGTTAACATTGATTGATGTTAATTATGCTTGCAACCTAATAAGTTACAACCGAAGTCAAAGATAACCCGAAATATATCAAAATGAGTCTTTTATATTTCCAAACCAGGATTTTACATTTGTTTGTATGTAGTCTGTCAAAAATCCCACAACTTTGGATCGAGAGTCAAATTTCATCCACTTAAATAGAGGGATAGAGGGAGTAATAGAGGAGATGAATGATATACAATCCAAGTACATAACCATGAGTCTTTCATACTAACTTCTTACAAAATTACCCTCATTTATTTTACTCACCTTAGGATTGTTCCATGACTGGCTCTCA